ATAATATTAGGTCTTGAGTTATTATTCAAGCAAACATTTATTTGCCCCCACTCCTAAAAAGCAGCTGAGTAGGTATCTGGGGAAAACAAAGTGGAATACAAACCTCTTAACTCCCACATCAATACAGGTTTCAGACAGAGCTGGAAGGATCTCCCCGATTCTCAATCTCACGCTAGGAATCAGGGCGGGCCAGCGGGCGGCCAGATGCTCAGAGGCAAGCCTGGGACGTACTGTGCTCTACCATCTTCAGAGCAGATGGGCTCACAGACCTGTCCTCATCCAGACTCCGTCCTGGCCATTTGGTGCTCAGCCCCTTCACAAGAGCCGCAACTCTCCAGTGAGGCAGACCGCTTCGGAGTCAAGGGTCTGGCAGCTGAAGGACTGGGGCAAAACTGGAGCGTGAAAGCTGCCTGGTGCGGCTGAGAATAAGCCAAACAGATGTGGGTACGAGAGAAGGCTGAGGTTCAAGCATCGCCTACTTTGCCTCTTGTTCCTCAGTCGTGGCCCCACACTCAGACCACCACACCTGAGCCCTGGGACAGATGGGACATTTATCTTTTTAAACTTACTTCTAGGGGAAAAAAATTCTACTGGGCAGAGATGAGTGGTCTCCAAAAGGTTTTATTTCCCTTTTTAAATCAGGTTCAAAAAAAAAAAAAAAAAATCAGGTCCAACCTCACAGGGCTCAACTTTCCACCTCTGTAGCTTCACTGTTCCCTGGTCACTCAGAGATCCTTTGGTGATGCCCCTTCTATTTCAAGACCCGCCAAAATTAAACTGAGGGACTACAGATAAGTTTTTGGTACTTTCCAAAATTAAACTATTTCCCTTGGTAAATTTCCAGCAAATGAGCTCACTGATCTGAAAACAGGATGTGGCGCAGGAGGAGTGTGAAGTCAGGCTGCCTGCTCTTTTCACTCATGCTGGCCAGGGACAGAGAAGAAGCGGAAGTGCAACAGAGACAAGGCAGTGAGCGGCTCTTACAGACCCCAAATCCTTGAGACACTTCACTTCAGGGGTTGGTCTGAGAATCAATGCGCTGTGAAATCAGCGACCTGGGAACGCTGATCCCTTACTGTTAGAATGCAAAGGCCTCACAGAGGCCGCCGCTGGCCAGCCTCCCATAGATTCTGGGGGTTGTCTCTTGGTTCCAGAAGCCCCTCAATTTATTCCCCAAAACCACCTCCCTTCTAGAGAGGCCCCCCCACGATCTCCTGTCACGGACAGGACGCTCCTGTAGCATCCGCCTGCCAGAGACTTGCCTACATCTCAGGTTAAAAAGCAAAAGAAGTGAAAGATCATTTCTCGTTTTTAAAGTCCAATCGGGACTCAAGACAAAAACAGACAGGGATCCTAATATATAAAGATTGTTTGACGGGTGCCCCGAGGAGGACAACCTCCCTCCTCCCTCAGCAGCCGGACCTACAGGTATTAAGTCTGATTAAAGAAAAGAAGAGATGTTGCCAAATTAGTGGTTCGCAAAAATGAAAGTTGTTTGCATCTTTTAAATGAAAATCCTACTCCAACACCAAATTCTGTATCCCTTGTAATATAAACAAACTCATGGAGAATAGTGGCCGTGCATGCGGGCTTGTGTGTGTGTGTGTGTGTGTGTGTGTGTGTGTGTGTGTGTGCGCGCGCGCGCGCGCGCGCGCACACACACACACTGTATTTAGACTTACAAAAAAAAAGCAGAAATGGTCCCTTCAAATACTCGGGTTTGTAAACGCACCCTGGGAACCGTTCAGCACCATCTCTTCCCTGATTGTGCCAACCCACTAGCGTGGAGGAGCCTGGCAGTGCGCTGGGCTCCGCGCGGGGAGCCCACCAGGGTAAGACTCGGGTTGCAACTTTTCAAATCACCCGGCTGCGGGACGTCAGGCAGGCAGGGGACCGGGAAGGGTTGGAGCGCCTGGCCTGTGCGGCTTTACTCCGGGCGCGCGCTGCGCCGAGTACTCGATGCGTGCACACGCGGCCGTGGGCACTGAACACAGCGAGCTGGGTAGGGGTGCGGGGGCTGCATGCGTATTAGTCGCTAGTGGGAGCTCGGGGCCTCAGTTTCCCCACCCGCAGAGTGCTCGCCCCGCCCCCAGAGCGGCCTCCGAAACAAGTCCGGTCTGCGGGGACCCGACCCCCAGCCCTGCCTTTCGTGGCTTCCGCCGGCCGGGAGGTCCGTCCTCTGCGCCCCACCGGAAGTTCCCGGACGGGCCGCGGGGAGGCGGCGGCACTGAGGTTGGTTGCCCTGCACCACTCCCACCACGCCTTCAGACCCCAGGCGCTCCGCCTAGAGCGCCCCAGCCCTCCGATCGATTGTACGGGCGGGACTCCCCAAGCTCCAGCCCCACGGACCTCGGGACCTGGGATCCGCGGCTGTGGGCCCCGCCCGGCGCACTGCCCTCGCCCTATCCACGCGCGCCCGGGGCCTCCTTGCGGCGCGTTCACCCTGAGCAGTCGCAGGCTATTCCGGTCTCAGAGTGTGCTCGCACCTGGACATTAGCTGTGGGCTGAGGACAGTCACCTGCGCTTGCCCTGGGGCAGGGCTGGGAACCACAGAGGCCTCTGGCGGGGATGGGGGGGCGGTGGCTAGCAGTGCAAGACGGTCCTGCAAGCCAGATGCCCAAACAGACTTCTCGGGGGAACTGGGGATGCCCCGAAGGACGAGGGGGAAGATAGGGAAATAACGTGCGTGGCCCAGACACTCCAGTGCGCAGACCCTAAGGGTGGAAGTTGCAGACGGGCCAGTGCAGGTTCCAGGTGGAAGGGAAAGGGGTCAAGAAGATGGATAAGGAGCAGCGGCCAGAGGCCAAGAGGGAGCGGGGCAGGAAGGGAGGGAAGGAAGGAGGGATTCCGGAAGAAAGAGCTAAGAATGCTGAGCAAGGGCTGGGAGGATGTACAAGCGGAGGCATCTGGCAACCTCCACATCTATAACCTCAGGGGACAGGTTCCAGAAGACTCAAGCACCTGTGTAGACAGTCTTTTCTCTACATTTTACTGCCAAGTGAGGAGACCGGGTGGAGGAAGGAGGGGAATTGGGGATGGGGGTGAAGAACATTTCGAAGCATTTGTGGTTAAAGCACAGGCTCTGGGTCCGGGCATCCTGGCTCATGAGCTGCCATGATCACTGACCTTCTGGATACCTGGGTTCCCTCCTCTGTAAAGTTGGGGTGATGATGGCAAATCTGCCTCTCTGGGTCACATGAAAATTGGATGAGATGATGTCTAACAGTACTTAACACAGCACTAAAAAAGTAGTACTTGTTATTTTGCACTTGTTAGTAGAGCGACTTGGACATATTCTGATGCTGATAGGAAGGAGCCGGTAGACAGAGTCAGTGAAGACAGAGGACACCGGAGAGTGACTGGGATGAGGATGGGGAGATAAAGCTTGGGTGCCTCCTTTGTTCCAAACCAGGGTGGGGAGGGAACAGGTGGACGTGCAGGAAGTCGGCAGTCCTGACAAGCAGGGAAGACAATGCCTTTCTGATGGTCTCCAGTGGACCTCGGGGTGGCTTGCTGAAAAGGCTAGGCAGGCCCAGCTGGGGGTGAAGTCCTGATGTAAACTGCCGTTGCAGGACACAGTGACCTCCTTGCCAGCAGCCCCAGCAGCCCTTCCATCCCAGGGAAGGCGGGCAGTTGAGTTTATCTAGGATGGCAACCTGCCCTGCCCAGGTGGGAGGCTGTGGTCGATGGCTGTGAGAACATCAGATTAGTGGAATTTACCCTTTTAATCCTCTTCCTTGGTTTTCAGTGGAGAGGCTGTGGCTGTCATCCGAGTAAAATGCCGAAGCCTTCCGAACATTGCACTAGGGCCGTGAGCCATGCTACACTTTCACCCAACATCTTGTCATCACAGCAGTTGGATGAAGTAGATATTATCATCTCTGCTTTACAGGTGCAGAAGCTGAGGTTCAGAGAAGCTAAAGACCTTGTCCCAGGAGCCATAGCTAGTAATAGTGGATCCAGTGTCCCTACTTGGATATGTGTGACCTCAGAACCCATGATTTGAAGCCACTGTGAAAGTTTGCAAACCCCTATCGCAGCCCAGTGGTTTTCCATCCGATAGATGAGCCAAGCAGGATGCACTGACCTCCTTGCTAGGCTCCAAGGCTCCACCAGCTTGCCTTGCTTTCATCTCTTCTGTAGTGGGAGAACACAGAACTTGGAGTCCTGCAGCTCTGGTTTAAGGCTGTGTGACTTTGGACCACGCATCTTGCTTCTCTGAGCTGTGCATGGCTGCAGAATTCCCCACGGGCTGTGGTAAGGATTGGAAGGCATTATAGACTGGCCAGGAGCCATTGTTTCCACAGTTCAGTTTTCCTGCAAACATGGAGCTCCAACCCACTTGGCTACTGAAACCATTTCCAGTGATCTTGGTCAGTGCTTTGTTCTCCCTGGCACAGGGAGGTGGTGGCGCTTGACCTGAGTATGCAGCCACCTATGACTTCCTGAGTGGGGCTGTGGGGAGAGGACTGTACGCAGCCTGAGGTCCCAAGACCTTAGACTTCAAAGGAGGGGAGGGCCCAGTTTGTCACCGTCATGATCTACGCAGGATGCCACAAGCAGGGTTGAGTCCTCGGAGGCTTCCTGCTGGTTCTGGTGGCCTTGGTCGTAGGGTCGCTGAATTGTAGACCCTGAGTCCACCTGTTGCAACTCATTTTTATTTTTTAACAGATGTAGGGTAACCAAGATCCACATGAGAAAGTGACTTTCACCTGAGCTTCCCGAGACACGCTGGACAGGGCAGAGCTAAAGGACCTACAACTTGAATTTTTGGACCTGCCCCCAAGACCCTGGGGAAGGTGAGCACCGCCGCTGAGAATTCTCTGTACTCAGAGGTCCTAGGTAACAAGACAAGTGGCCACCGGTGAGCCCCTGAGGAAGTGGAGGAAGTCCAAGGAAGCCTGCAGTTTTGACAAGAGGAACTCTGTGGTCTCCGAAAGTCGGCGACAGGGTTCTTTGACTCTGACTCATTCCCTTGCTCTTTCTCACTCTGAAAAATGACTGGACACTCCTGAAGGCTTCAGTCACCTTCCAGGGGATTTTTTTTCACCACAAAGGGTAATTCCTGTTTCATCCCTGCTGTGACTCAGCTGTGACGTTGAACCGAACGAGCCAGACAGAAGATAAAGTCACCAGAGACTCCTGCCCACCAGAGAGGGTGGCCCAGGCCAGAACCCACCTCCTCTCTCCCCTCACGCTCCACAGGGCCGGTCCTCTGGCCAGCCTTGGATCCTGGGATGGCCTCCAGCTCAGCCAACAGCCCCCACCCGGCCCCCGATGAGAACGAGTTCCCCTTTGGGTGCCCCCCAACCGCCTGCCAGGACCCGCCAGAGCCCAGGGCCCTCTGCTGCACAGCCTGTCGCCTCGAGAACCTAAGGTGAGGGTGTGAGGAGTGAAGGCAGGAAGAAGGAGCAGGGAGGGGCCGTAGGGTGGCCTGGTGCAAATGCTGCTGGCCGTGTACCTCAGCTTTCCTGTCAGTTCAGCTGTTTTCTGCCTCGCAGAATTGTTACAAGGCCTGATATATAACATTCAAAAAAGTTCTTACAATAGTGAATATAAACTGCCTTGATAAATGACAGACTTATACAAATGGATCTCATCCTGTTGCTGGGAATCCTCCCTCCTAGAAGGGACCAAGATATAGATAAAATATATATTTATGCTTTTTGTTTGTGGTTGTTTATTTGCTTTTGGTTTTTGTTGTTGTTTTGGGGAATGTTGGAGACTGAACCCAGGGCCTTGTACTCTACCACTGAGCTATACTCTCAGCCACCTGTATTTATGTTTAGAATAGAAATGGCTCAGAAGTGTGAGACATCAATAGTAACATCAGCATCCCGCCTTTGGCAACTATTGGGCACCTACTGTGTGCCAGGTTTTCTTTTCTTGGGTCCTCAAAACAGCCTGGAGAGGTGGGTAATGTTACTGTCCTATTTTATAGATAAGGACACTGAGGCTTCCTGGAGAGATGAGGTCAGCTTGCCTAAAGCCAGTTTCTAGCAAATATGTCCTTAAATGGCCATGCACCACCAACATGACCTTTGGTTTGGGGCGTAATGGTTTAAGAAGGTGGGAAAACTGAATAGAGTAAGTGAGAAGTCTAACGTGATGATAAAGGGCATGCTGTGGGCAGAGGCGAGAAGCTGTGGAGATGGAAAGGCCAGGTGTGGGGTGGAGGGGCAAAGCTTCACTGCCTTTCTCAGCCAGCGGCTTGCTGAGGGCTCATCGCGGGCTTCGGGGGTGGCTCTCTGGACCTCTCCACACAGAGGAGGGCATAGATGCTGACCAGAAGACAGAGTGGCTAAGTCAGTAGCGCTCACAGTGGGTCAGAACCACTTGGGAGCTTTGTGAAAACACAAGTGCCCAAGTGCCACCCCACAGAATATGACCTCCGCTCCTCACTAAAAGCCTGCAGGCGAGGTAGTTTCTGAGGCCCCTTCTTGTTCTAATAGGCCACAGTCATCTGTAGTTAGCAAAACCAAGAAGTGGTAGCCAAGTACGGTGATGCACACCTGTAATTCCAGCGCTCTTGGCGGCTGAGGCAGGAGGATCACAAGTGCAAGCCCAGTCTGGGCAAGTTATCAACTTAGCAAGAATCTATCTCAAGATTTTTAAAAAGGGCTGAGGATGTAGCTCAGTGCAAAGGCCCAAGGTTCAATCCCCAGCCTATACCAAATAATAATAAAAATATCAATAATAATAACAATGGGCCAAAACTAAATAAAGGCTGCTGAGCAGAGCAAGTGTCATCACACATCCACAGTCCCTTGCCTAAACCCCTGGGGCCAGATGTGTTTGGGAATTCTTTTTATTTTTCAGGGTTTAGAAAGGCCAGCCAGCACATGATGTAATTCTTCTAGCGGGGACAGAGGCAGCACCTTGTAATCAAGCACTTTAATGTTTCTGCAGTGGAAGATAAATATTCACACTAAGTGGGATGAGTGAGGGCCAGCTGAGGTCAGGTTTGGCTGCAGAAAAAACATTCGATTTCCTGTGCTTTTGAGGCTTGGAACAATGGACCTGCATGATCACTGGTATCAGCACCCGCACTGGGCAAAGGTCAAGATTTTTGGCGCTGCAGGGATGGAGGGCGCCAGGGAATTGTGTGCCTTGCTCAGCAGGATTTGTTCATGTTTCCCCAGGAACAGCGAAGATCGGATCTGTCCCAAATGCAGAGGGGAGAGCCTCCAATCTGAAAGCCCCGGAAGTCTTCTGACCCCGGAGAAGGTACGTTGGCATGGCCAGGAAAGAGTCTTTGCCCATTCTCTTGGTTGGACAAGCTTGAGGCCAAGCGAGCTCAGATGGCCTTGGCAGATGCCTCCCTCCTTTGCCTTGAGCCTGTACTAAATTCACTTTGTAAGAAGTGAGGAGCCTGGTGTTCACAGAGGTGAGACACCTGGCCCTAGACCACCCAGCTGATGTGTGAAAGATTCAGGGCGAGAACCATCATCTGGACCAGGGGTCCCTAAACTGTGATGTGTGGGCCAAACCCAGCCCACCACCTGGATTTTTGTACGGCCCTCAAGCTAAGCATGTTTTTTTGTTTGTTTGTTTGTTGGTTGGTATTTTTAAATGGTTGGGGAGAAAAAGAAGGCTGGTATTTTGGAACACATGAAAATTATATGAAATTCACATTTATATGTCCATAAATAAAGTTTTATTGGTACATAGCCACATCCATTCATTTATGTATTGTCTGTGGCTATTTTCTCCCTGCAGTGGCAGAGTTGAGTACTTGCAGTGGAGACATCAAAGGCCAAAACATTTACTCTCTGGCCTTTTACAAAAAAAATTAGCCAGCTGGTGATGCAGGGAGAGGCCACTATCAGCTCCCTGCTAGGCCACGTTTCTAGGATAAGAAACATCTTTGGAAGTATAAGAAGTCACAGAAACAGCCTCAGGTACCACAGTTTAGAACTCTGGCCCCCGCAAGCGGGAAAGACCCTCAGCCATGTGTCCATGCAGACGGGTTCCCACATGCCTCTAGAACCAGTCCGTTCCCCCAGTTTCATGACACCATAATGAAAATCAGGAAACTTTAGTAAGTTTCTTATGAAGTTAAATTCTTCCATTTGAACAGTCAGCCTTGACTCTATGCTTATGTCCCTCTGATATATTTCACTGTATAAATGTGATGATACAATAGTAGGTGGTCGTTTTCGGTAAGACCTTTACTAGGTACAACAAAAAGATGGCAATCTTTGCATTAATCTCCCAATTAAAAAAAAAATACTTATATGGATCCATGACTAGAAACATACAGAGTCGCTACTTAAAATCCAACCCCCTTATTTGTTCATTTAGATGTGAGGCCCAAGACCGCTGGGGAGTCCCAGGGCCAGAGCTCCTCAGTAACCCGCCTCACTGCCCCTCACTGAGACAGATGCTCAGCCACTTTCTCCTTTAGCAACAGTGGCCCGCAGACCAGGAACTTGGTTTCAGGAACCGTTTTTGTGGCTAGAGACAAATCCCAGGCCCTGTTTCTCTCTGCAGAATAAGGCCACTGAGTTGGTTCTGCAGGGCCTTTCCAGGGTCTGTGATGTCCAGGTCACAGGTCAGTGGCCCCATGGTTGCTTTCACTCACACCTCCTTCTCCCTGCTGTGCACTGGTCCTTGTCATTCAGAAAGTTTGGGGGAATTTTCTGCCCTGTGCAGGAAAGTTTGGAGGGCTTTCCTGTCCTTTTCTCAGCAGCTCCTCCTCCAGCAGGGCCTCAGAGAAAAATAACCAGGATCCAGTGCATTTTCCTAGAACTTGACATGCTCCATTTTGGAAAAGTCAATACAGTATACTGACAGGTGGGAGAATTTCCTGAACCACCTTGTTTGGGTGTCTTATTGCACTAGCTATGACACAGGAGAAGCTCCCTGACCCTGTGAGCTGTCTGAGGCCCTGCCTGATTGCATGCTCCAGAGCTGTTGTGTTGAACTTGTTTTATTCCTGCCTCTTAACAAAGTTAATACCCACTCATTATATAAATGTTAGATAGTACGGGTAAGGTAGATTGCAATCGCTTAACCTGGTGACTTTAATTTTTCTGTCTTTGTCAAAGCAAAAGCTAACATATGTCAGGGGAACCTGGAGCCCCACCCTCTTACTTACCCTGGCTCTTTCTTTTGGCCCCACCCCTGAAGAACTCTGGGGATTCGAAGTGCCCCACAGCGCACAGTTTGAAACTTGCCCCCTTAAGCCAGAAGTGGTGGGCTTACAGGCGATCTAACAGGCCACTGGGTAGGCTGCTATCTGGATTTGGGGGGCAAGGGCCTCCTTGCCATGGGCAGACTTCAAGAGGCACCAGCCCCTCCCATCCCTGCTGGTTTCCCACCCAGTGTAATCATCAGTGCTCAGGCAGTGGATTCTGCACAAAGCCACAGAGTGGAAACACCAGGGACTGACTACTCTGAATCCTGCCCTTCGTGGGAACTTTGGGGGACTTTTGTTCAAAGAAAAGCAGCTGGTAATAAGTGAACACTTTGCGTATGTGGGAATTCCTAAGTCTGTCTGTGCATCTGAAAGAACCTGGGAAACAGAGGCAGGGTGGAGGGACCAGGCTGGGCTGGAGCCCCACTGCGCGAAGCCCAGGGGTGCCCATCCTCGAGGTCGTTTTCTGTGCCATCTGCTTATCAGTTTATGCCCATCCTCTGACTTCATTCAGTTACAATCCCCGAGAAGGGACTGAGCCACGGACAGGTTACCTAATGTAAAAAGCAGGTATTAGAGGATTAATGTTGACCTAGTTAGAGATTAGGTTCTTGCCTGGAATGATCTTCCTGAAGAAGTGACGATAAAGTAAGGAGCAAACCAGTGGCTGGGAAATAGCATGCAAGTCTGTTTGCCGAGACCCCCGCAAACAGTATTGTTTCTCTCACTCTCTTCCCTCTGAGGCCCTTTCAAAAATGTCAGAATCACACTGGCATCTGATACTGGTGGCTCACAATGGTGCCACAGCTTTTCCTGGAATCTGAAAATGACAGGTGCTTAAGCTTCTTAGTCTCATTTCTACCATGTTTCTGATTCCTGCCGCTTGAGTTCCTGTCCTTCCAAAGATAGGGAGCTCCTTACTCCGTGGATGGCTGCTTCCGTGTTCCGAGAACTCTGAGCGTTGCAAGTATTCCTTCTTTGTCTGTATGATGCTGAAGTCTGTCTCTTTTGAGGGTCACAAAGGGCAAGGCAGCCTCCATTCCTAGGACCCATCCTGAGGAAGACACGAACCACGTCCCTGTTACATCTGTCCCCAATCTGTGTGCGTCTGGGGCAAACGTGTTCCTGTTTGTCTGTGTCCCTTGAGATGAACCTCCAGACCCTTATACTTCTGACTTGGGCAGTTTATAATCTCATCAGTCCCGTGGCATCTTGTGTGGTGGGTGGTAGTGGTGCCACTATTTTACTACCAGGTAATATATGTAAGGCCCAGGGAGGAGATATTGGTGCCTGGACCAAAGTCACATGGCAAGTGAGAAGCAAAGCCAGGCCCCAGTTTCTGCCTCCTATGCTGGTAACATCATCTCTGTGCTGCCTCCAAGTGGGGGATTACTCCCCCAAAGTCTTACACACATTTAAATAACACGATCATCCTTAAGTGCCAGAATCCAATAAATGTGATGGAAAAACCACAATGCCCAGGACAGAGAATCAGTCAGGGGCTCCAGGAGGTGGCAGTTGAACCGAGCTGAGCCAAGGTAGGCAGAGAGGAAACTGGCACAGTCACAGAGGAGGGCAGGAACTGGCAGGCAGCGACGACAGGCCAAGTCCCCTCTGCGGCGAGAGTGCTCCCCTCAGCACCTGCTGAGGCCTGAGCAGCAACAGGTCCCCCGGGCCTCCAAACCTGAGCCGTCTCCATGCCCCGCCCAGCAGGCGGGCAGCCCGGCACACTCAGCTCCTTTTCTGCACAGCGGCTGCCCAGAGGCGGCACCCAGGCCACTGGCACCCTCTCCACACTCACATTCCTGGAGGGCCCCAGGTCCCTAAATGGGGGCCTCCCACTGGGACCCTTGGTGACCTCATCACAAAGGGCCTGAGTGGCCAGGGTGACTGGAAACACCACACAGCCCCAGGCTTCGCAGACCTAGACAGAGGGCGAGTGTTTCCCCACGCCCAGGACTCTGTTTTCTCTTTTTCTGTTTCTTCCTCAGAGCAAATTCCACTGCCAGCTTTATTTTTAGTAACTTGCAAGCAGTACAGCCATTCACACAGGGGCCACTTGTGGCACCGAGGGGACCCCAGAGTTGGCCCAGGACAGAGCACTGTTCTTTCTCCCTAGCCAGGCCTGATTCCTTTTCTGTCCCATCAGTCCCCAGCCTTCAGGGGAGGCCATACTCTGATCAGATGAGGACTCCATGGTGGGGAGGGACTCTGGAAGTGGGCTCCAGGCTCCTGGGCTGCCCTGCTTGGCCTTGCTGTGTCCTGTAAGCCCCTGCACTGGGGCCCCGGCTTCCTTTCCCGGATGAGAAAGCAGAACCTGAGCCCTGTCTTCCTTATGGTGCTGGGAGGTTCTGACAGGCCACAGACTACACAGGCTGGAGCGAGCCGGCATGACCTGGAGCGTGCCGTCCACTCAGTTTCTCTGTCCCTATTAAGGTGAAGTGAATCCAGCCCTGCCTGCCAGAAAACTGTCACAGGGACCTTTTGAGACAACATGCAAAAATGCTTTGGTCACTGGGCATGGTGGCACATGCCTATAATCCCAGCACTTGAGAGCCTGAGGCAGGAGGATCACCCTGGGCTATACAGTGAGTTTAAGGCCAGCCTGAACTACATAGCGAGACCTTGTCTCAAAAAACAAAACAAAGCAAAACACAATAAAAAAACCAAAGCTTTGCTCCTCTATAATTGGATGCTTTGGGGACTTACATGTGTAGGGGTGTTTCTTGCCTGTCAAAGAAAATCCAATGAGAAAACAATTTGTGTGAAATTAGTTGTTAAGAGTTTGAGATGTGGAGGTTAAATGAGGCACATGTGTTGTCAGGATGGGGGGAGGCAGCGGTAGTGCTTAATCCATAGGAATAAGGCAGGTAACGGTCGCTCCACTACTCCCAGCTCACATGTTGTGAACACTGTGTTAGACAAAAAAAGTCCCCTAAAAAGATGTCCACATGCTGATCCCAGAACCTGTGAATAGATCGTCTTGCATGACTGTGTTCATTCACTAGGGCTGCGGTAACCAAGTGCCACAGACCGTGTGGTGCAAACAACAGAAGTTTGCTTCCTGAAACACGGTGTTGGCAGGGTTGATTTCTTCTCAGGTGTCTCTCTTTGGTTTGTAGATGGCCATCTTTTCCTGTGTTGCCATCCGGTATCCTGTGTCCACATTTCTTCTTCTAAAGACACCATTCCTGTTAGATTAGAGCCCACCTCATTTCAATGTAGTGAGCTCTTTAAAGGCCCTGTCGCCACATTCTGAGGGACAGGGGGTTCGAACTTCAACATAGAAATTTGGAGAGGGGCACACTCAACCCATAACAATGGCAAAAGAAACTATAGTATGACTAAATGAAAGATAACCCAGGACTCTAGGTGAACACGATATGAGCACAAAGGCCCTTGTAAGAGGGAAACAAGGGAGTCAGCAAGAGATTGGAAGATGCTGGGCTCCTGGCTGTGAAGCTGGAGGAAGGGACCCCAAGCCAAGGAAAGCAAGCAGCCACTAGAAGCTGAAAACACAGGGAAACAGATCCTCCCCTACAGCCCCAGAGGGAACACAGTCCTCCTGATACCTCAGTGTTAGGACTTCTGGCCTCCAGAACTGTAAGATAATAAATATGTACTATTTTAAACCATTAAGTGCATGGTAGTTTGTTACAGCAACAATAGGTAACTAATACTAGCACTTCCATTACCTCATTTAATCCCCACCATTACTCCCAAAGGGGTGGGGACTGTTATTATCCTCATTTTGCAGATAGAAAAACTAAGACTGAGGAGTTAATGAGTCCCCTGGAGCCACCTCTCTAGGATGTGAAGTGACAGAAACAGGCTCTGAACCCCAACAGGTTGGCTCTGAGACTCACACCCGTAACTTTCATATGCTAAGCGATCAGGAACTGCTGATAAACCAGACAGCCTGGCTGGCCACCAAGGCCTCAGAAGGTCTCACAAGTCACCCCTGTCCCTCCTCCATCAGCACACCACCCCACCCTGGTAACACAGCCTAGTTAGCAGGACCTGGACATCCATGCAGCAGGCAGTCACCAATCACATGACCCAGGGGAGGCCCTGCTGCCAGAGGACAAGTGATGTCTGGAATGCCACTGTTTGTTTGACCTTTCACCTTCTATCTCTGATGACTCACATGAAGCTTCTACCTTTAGAACCACAGAGGATTTGAATCATGGACATTTAGGGAATTTTAGGGCCCAGGGCCATGCGCCAGGCACTCAGGTTCACACCTGGCTTCAGGCCTTTCTTATTCCGACATGGCATTGAAAGCTCCCTGTGAGGACAGGCTTCATGATCACCGGCTTCCTAAAACTCACTCCCCATGAAACCTCTGTTTCCCATTCTTGGTAGGGAGCACTTGTCCCCAAAGCAGCAGAGTGAGCTGTGCTCTGTGTCCCACACTGACTGTACTCAGCAAGCCCCCAGGCCTCTGCTTGTTTGACTTGGAGAGAGGAATAACTAGTGTGGCTTTGTATTTGTTCAGCCCAAGAGACCTCTGTCCTTGCCTCCTTTTATCCATATCCTCTCCCATTTTGCCTCCATCAGATCATTCTTCCAAAACAAAATAACAAAGCTCTCATCTAATCAGGTTATTATTTCCAAGCAATGACACTCGCTCATCATAAGCATACAGTTCAGTGAACCTTGGGTACTGTATATAGTCACGTGACCCCTGCTGCAGTCAAGATGGCAAACATTTTTGCCCCCAAATAAACTACTTTGTGTCCTCACTTAGTCACCCCACTCCCATCCCTGCAGCACCAGGCAACCGCTGATTTACTTTGAGTCACTATCACTGTGCACTTTTCTAGAAGTGCTTCAGAATAGAATCAGAGTATGTACTTTTGTGTTTGACTTCTCTCATTTAGCACATTTTGGAGGCTCATCCATGCAGTTGTGTATATTTAATTCCATTTAACTGCTGCGTGTTGTGTTCTTTAGTGTGGATATACCGCAATTTGTCTGCTCACCACTGACTACAGTAGATTGCTTATAGTGTGGGGCTGTTATGAATAAAACTGCTATGAGCATTCATATCTGCATCTCCTTCTGGACATATATTTTCATCTGTCCTGGGTCAGTTTCTGAGAGTGAGATGTGTGGGTTACATGGCAACTTTATAAGTTTGATTTGTAAATAAGTTATTCTAGAAGCATGGTTTAACTTCACACGATATATCATAGAGTTTTCCAAAGCATCTGTACCATTTTGCATTCCCACCAGCAATACAGGACAATTCCCATTGTCACTGTTTTTCACTCTAGCTGTTCTAGTGAGTAGATAGTGGTGTGTCCCTGTCAATATAGTTTATAGATCTCTGCTGACTGGTGATATTAAGCATCATTTCGTAGGGTGATTAGTCACTCGTGTGTCTCCTTTCATGAAGTATCTGCTCAGGGAGCTGTGGGAGACCTGTCCTGACTGAAATAGCAGTGCTGTTCAGAATGACAGTGAGGACCCTGGTCCTGTTTGGAAGGAAGGTCACAAAAGGACCAAGGCTCAAAGGGAGGAAAGGAGTTATCAAGCAGAGGGAACGGCATGTGCCAGGTCATATGCCCAGATCCACTCCTGCCCTGGTGGATCTTGGTGCTTTGCAGAGAGCCCTAGGGGTGGCCACACGGATCCCCATAGGATCCAATGGCATGGTTGTTATTTCCAGGTTCATCCCGAGGTGGCCAAGGCTGGAGTTGGGTGCCCCTTTGCAGGTGTTGGCTGCTCCTTCAAGGTAAGTGTGGGAAAGGGGTCTGTCTACTGCAATCCCGGACCTTTGGGTCTCCCTGCCTCATCCAGCAGCTTCCCGTAACATCAAGCTACCCTCTGGATGACCCTTGTACTAATGACTTTCCAAACCATTAATCCCACTATTAAGTCATGGTAGTATGCAGGGAAGTTTTTGTTTTTGTTTTGTTTTGTGGTACTGGGAAATTGAACCCAGGGTTTTCACACTGCACTACCTCCCAAGCTTTGTTTTTGAATTTTTGAGATAGAGTATCACTAAATTGCCAAATTGCCCAAGCTGGGTTCACACTTGTGATCTTCCTGCCTCAGCCTCCCAGAATGCTAGTAAGGAAGTTCTTAGTTTCTTACTTAAGCCTTGGTGTTTAGTCATTAAAAGACCCCTGTGCCTCTCTCCATGGTCCTGAACCATCACTGAGCTCAAGGGCAGGGCAGGACTGTTGCTCTACAGGCTGAGATTCCTGTGGCTCAGGGTGGGCATGTCTGATGCTGGAGCCCTCTGGTCCCTCCCACTGTGCAGTGAGCCACTTCCCTCTGTTGAGGAAAGGGTCTAATGTCCCTTGGCAATCTTCAGTTCCAGGGCTCTCCACTGTTCCCCAGTCCTTCCTCCACCTCTTTTCTCACTGATGGTTCTGCTCTCTCGGCAGGGCAGCCCGCCATCCCTACAGGAGCATGAGGCCACCTCCCAGGCCACCCACCTGAACCTGCTGCTGGGGTTCATGAAACAGTGGAAAGCCCAGCTGAGCTCAGGCCCAGGTTCGGGGCCCACAGCCCTGGAGCAGAACCTGTCAGACCTGCAGCTGCAGGCAGCCGTGGAGGTGGCAGGGGACCTGGAGGTGGATTGCTACCGAGCCCCTTGCTCTGAGAGCCAGGAGGAGCTGGCCCTGCAGCACTTCATGAAGGAGAAGCTGCTGGCCGAGCTGGAGGAGAAGCTGCGTGTGTTTGAGAACATTGTCGCTGTCCTCAACAAGGAGGTGGAGGCCTCCCACCTGGCCTTGGCTGCCTCCATCCACCAGAGCCAGGTGGACCGTGAGCGCATCCTGAGCTTGGAGCAGAGGGTGAGCAGGAGAGGCAAGTTTTCCCTTGAGGCCAGCTCAGGGAGCCCGCTTGGCCCTGTCCAGTCCCCAAAGCAGCAGTCCAACCTCCTAGTCATTCATCCTGCTTAGAGCAGCCACTCCCCGCTTAAAACTACCACCCCTGGGTCCTAAGACACTCTAAGAAGAACCATGGGTCAGAAGCTGTAGTCAAGGTCAACCCCTTGCCCTACCCAATGCTTCAGTACTTTTGCTGAGCTTCTCCTGGGATAGGACACTCCCTCCTGAGACAGCTCTTTCCATTGCTGGACATTTTCCACTATGATAAAGATCTTCTTTCAACTAAGCCAAAATCGCCATGGCAACCCTTTAGAGATGGAGAGGCAGTGAGTATGTCTTGGCCCATCCCTTCTTTAGACCAAATGTCCAGCATCTTCTTCAGAGCATGCTGTTGCTTGCCATCCCTGTATGCTCTGGCCTAGTCTCTAAAGGATTCCATATTTTTGGAGACTGACTCCAGATAATCAACTTATCCACCAGTTCTTGGGCCATAGCTGATACCGTTCCGAATGGAGCCACTCACTATGCAAATGTTGCTTTTTGCAGCAGCGCTACATCATGTTAAGTTAGGCTTACATTTTAGTTCCAGCTCCACCACTAATTTGCCTGGCAGACCTGAGCAAATCACCTTCTCTCTTGGGACCTCAGCTCCCCCAGCAGTAAAATCAGGGCTTACGTTTTCTTTAAGGAGGCTCATTTCCATTCCTGACTCCCCTTACCTGTGTACACCCAAGACTAAAGCTATAGTCTTTCAAATCTCACTGGGAAAGTTTAGTAGGAGGACCAGATACTGGATTCAGATGGCCAAGTAAAGCCTTTATTTATATAGTTTACCCAGTAAAAGGTAGGCCCCATGAGGGCCACAGCTGGGTCATTTTCCCACCCACAAATTTCCTAGCTCTACTCTTATAGGCCAGACACTAGGCAAAGCATGGAAACAAATGAAATGAGCATGGGTCAGTCCCATGATGAAGGAGAACAAATGGTCAGAAAGATGTAAAACCACTGGAAAGTTCTGTGGGAACATAGAGCAGCTGGGCTAAGGCAGTAGTTGAAGGCTTCCCACAGGAAGGGCCATACGAGCTGGATCCTTAGTGAATGAAGTTGTCCGGTAAGGAAGTCCAGGCAGGGCATAGCACATGCAATCACAGACTCATGCACCTGAGTGAGGCATGGTCAGGAAAGCATTTGGGGCAGATCTATCTCCAGAACTTGCCATCCCACCTCATCCCCAAGCTGGGTTCTGGTGTCCCTGGCTGAGTGGGTTTCCTTGCAGGTGATGGAGTTGCAGCAGACCCTGGCCCAGAAAGACCAGGCGCTGGGAAAGCTGGAGCAGAGCCTGCGCCTGATGGAGGAGGCCTCCTTTGATGGCACCTTTGTGTGGAAGATTACCAATGTCACCAGGAGGTGCCACGAGTCTGCTTGTGGCAGGACCATCAGCCTCTTCTCCCCAGGTAACTCCTCAAGGGGGCACGGAGACCAGATGGGGAAGGCAGGCCCCTCTGAGCTGAGAAAACAGCTGGCACTGGGACAGCGTGCTAGGTCCAAGTCAGACCAGTGTCCATCCGGCCACCTCTTACGACCCAGATCTGCATTGGGACCATGGGGGCAGCGGGCAAACTGTGCTGAACCAGGTCTCTAACCCATGCACAGGAGTGGGCGCCTGGGCCCCGGGGGAAGCCTTTCCACTTCCTGAATGACAGCACACTGCACAAACGGAGAGGCACTGTATGTTGTTATCTACTTCATGAGGCTGTCAGGTATGAGAGAGAGGACCGTTGGTGCCAAAGGGGGTGCAGGTGAGAGAGATGTAGGTGGTGGCTTTCACAAGGGAATATGTGGGACCCACGTCCTCAGAGAGCTAGCAGTCTGCAGTTAGATAAGGAGAGGACTGAGTCAGAGTTACCCACGCTTGTGCGTAATTGTGGGCAGACCATGGATGTGTGTTGTGTAAACTGGGGCAGTACTTGGGAAATGTTTCTCTTAACTGATGTGTATTAATATAACAGTGCTTATATTTGTGTATAATATACTTGTTCTCTTTCACACATGCACACAGTGGCAGCTCCATTTAAATAAACTGAACCTCAAAAAGGCCAAGTCCTTACCCAGCAGCCAGCTGTAGATACGGGCTGAGCCTTCTGTACTTGCCCCTGTGTCACACACACACGTGTCCGGGTAAACGGGTCGGGGGGATGCGGACATGCAGGTGGAGTTCTGCCAGCCCTGCCTGTGCTTCAGCCCTTCCGAGCTCATCTGCCTCTCTGATGAACCCAAGACCCACTGAGCTGGAATCATGAAGAAGTGGTGGAGTTTGCCCAATTCCAGAGCAGCGCAGCTTCCCAAAGTAGTCCGCTTGTGGAGATGGCCCTCTTCAGGGGTGGCCACACCTCCTGCCCACACACTGTTCCTCCTGGAATCTTTGCACAGAGGGAAAAGCGAGCAGTCCCTCTGACTTCCTGTTCTACCAACATGTAATGGGCAGAGATGAGTCAGCCTGGCAACATGTTCCTCCTCCACCCCCTTCCTGCCCAACCCTTACACCCCATCCCCACCCAGGGCACTGTCCCCAGAGTGTGACAGTTGTCAGAACCGGTGCCCAAAAGGACAGCCTTCTCAGCTGCCCTGGGAGAGAGAGCCCCATGGGTTCCTGTGGTTAGTCATCGGCAGTGATTTGTCCCTTGGGGCCTTTGCCAGCCACTTCCTCTTACTGGGCTTAGTTTCCACACTGTAAAATTAGGCCAGTGAGAATGGTGGTTCTCAAAGTGTGGTCCCTCGGCCCGCCGCATTGGCATCTCCTGTGAACTTGGTAGAAATGCAGATTCTTGGTCCTCCCTCACCACCGCTGAATCAGAAACCCTGAGTAGGGGGCCCATCTGTGATCCTGAAGGCCAGCAGACAACCACTGAGCTGGGTGATCTCCAGTAGCTCCTTCCCTTTTCTGTACTGTGTGTAGAGAAGGCAGGCTGGGCTCCAGCCCCAGCCATCTTAGATGTGAGCCACTGACCTTGGGCATGCCTGACCAGTACACCCAGCCTCCTCGTCTACATGGTCAGTGCTTCCCAGCTATATTCCAGGCTGTGCTGACTCTGGCCCCACATTCCAGCTTTCTACACGGCCAAGTATGGCTACAAGTTGTGCCTGCGGCTCTACCTGAATGGGGATGGCACGGGCAAGAGGACCCACCTGTCACTTTTCATTGTGATCATGAGAGGGGAGTATGATGCTCTGCTGCCATGGCCTTTCCGGAACAAGGTATGGGCTGGGACTGGGTGAGGGCATGAGGGGATAGGGAGAGGAGCATGGGAACCTGGGTTTTAGTTCTGGTTTATGAATTGGCTGTGTAACCTGGGCAAGGCCCGTGCTCTCCTTGCATTATCAATTTCTCCTTTTATACAACAAGAAGCTGAGTTCAGATCTAGCAGCCAAGGCACTCCCTGAGCCCAGGCACTAAAACCTCTAGAATATAGCGTTCCTGAAGGGCTTATAGAAGTGGAATCCACAAGGTGGACTGGATAAGGACACCTTCCTGGAAATGGTGGTGTGAGGCCAGCCTTAACCTGCAGGACTTCAGGAAAAGGGAAGGAGACAGATATCTCTACACTCCACCCACTCCTGGCCTCTGGCCTCTCAAAATGCCCAAAATCCAGAACATTGACCACACCCTGTGCTGGCAAGGACATGGAGCAAAAGGAGCTCTGATTTCTACTGCTGGGATGGAGAACGGGACAGCCCCTTGGAAAACAGTTTAGTGACTTCTTATATAACTAAACGTACTCTTACATATGACCTAGCACACTCCTCAAATTTACCCTAGAGTTGAAAATGTATGTCCACATCAAAGGGAAAAAACCTTTACACATGAGTGTTTATAGCAACTTTATTCATAACTGCCAAAATTTGAATCAATCAAGATGCCTTCTAATAGGTAAATGGATAAACTGTGCTATATCCACATAGTTGTGTATTACAAAATAATCAAAGGAAACAAGCTATCAAGCCACAGAAAAATGTGGAGGAACCAAAACAGAGTTTTACTAAGTGAAAGAAGCCAGTCATACTATATGTGTCCTACTATAGGATATTCTGATGAAAAAGGCAAATGTGTGGAGACAGTAGAAAGATCAGTGGTTTCCAGGGAGTGGAACAGAAGGAAGAGGAATAGAGATCCCCGAAAATAGATAGGGCAGTGAAACTCTTCTGTATGATATCACAGTAGTGAATGTGTGTCCTTATACATTTATGAAAACTCAGAATGAACACCACCAAGAGTGAGCCCTAATATAAACCATGAACTTGAGTGATACAGATGTATCAGTATAAGTTGATCAGCTGTAACAAAGACTCCCCGCCCCATACAGGATGCTGATGGTGGAAGAGGTTGTGCATGTAAGGGGAGAGGGGCCATGTAGGGAATTCTATTTCCTACTCATTTTTTTCTGTTAGCCCAAAACAACTCTAAAAAATAAAGTCTATTAAAATGTTTAAGGGACAGTTAGGGAGGCTAGGCTTTCCCTGCAGGTAACAGCAGCTTGGAGTGACGGGAAGGTGTCACGCCTGCAAGCTTCAGCTGCAGTGGGAAACAAGCGGGTGGTCAAGCCAGGTGGGTCTGAGTAGGAGTCAGTAGGCCACTGTTCCCATATGTGCTGGGGACATTTTGCTTTCTGGTCTGAGGATGGAATACAAGGCCTCGTGCGTGATAGGCATGTGCTCTACCACGGAGATACACCCCTCTAGAGACACTGTTAGAACACCTGGGGCAGGGGCTCACCTCACTAAGTGGTAAGGCCAGGCCATCCAAGCTTTTGAGCCTCCCCTGGGGATTGTCAATGCAGCCAAGTTTAAGAACTACTTCAGTAGGAAACGGAACAACCTTAGTTCCTGATGGGCATTTCAGGACATGTGCCAGGGAAGGAGGTTTGTGTCATGGTCAGATGATCAGCTTCTTAGAGTACATGCATCTCTGTGTGTGCCAGGGTGTGATTAACAGGGCATGGAGTGACAGCCCTTCAGGAGAAGGCCTGTCTGTTCTCACCCAATGCCTGGCCCCAGGAGATTCTGGCTGTATAACCCAGAAGGTACATTTAGGTAACTGAGTACCCTCTTGGTCTGTACTTTGGCCCCCAACAGCCAGTCAGGCTTGACTGTGGCATAAAAACCCCCACCCTTCCTGCAGGCCAGCTGATCCTAATCAGAGGACACCTCTGAAGCCTGCTCGGAGTAGCAGGTGCCTCTGATTACACGAGTCATGCATACCACACGTGTGGTCCTTACATTGTTTCTTTGGTTCCTGGTCAATCTGAGCTGAGGGTCCACACAGCCAACAAGTACGTAGCCCTCTGAGCCTGCACACTGGGCCTACAAGGCTGGATGCTGCTGCCTGGGACCTCATCTCCCACCTGCTCCTGCCCTGCAGGTCACCTTCATGCTGCTCGACCAGAACAATCGTGAGCATGCCATCGATGCCTTCCGGCCCGACCTCAGCTCAGCATCCTTCCAGCGGCCCCAGAGTGAAACCAACGTGGCCAGCGGCTGCCCACTCTTCTTCCCCCTCAGCAAGCTGCAGTCGCCCAAGCATGCCTACGTGAAGGACGACACCATGTTCCTCAAATGCATCGTGGAGACCAGCACTTAGGGCAGCAGGGGGCCTCCTGAGGGAGCCCCAACCCAGCTTGGCAGGGTGACTGATACCCTCCCCTGGTGCCCACCATCCCAGGAGCAGGACAGACAGCTTGGCTGTGGGTGCTGGCAGGATGGTAGGACCTTGGGCTAGGACAAAAGGGCAGAGGGTTCAGGAGGGGGCAGGGAGAATTGCTCCCCTCAGCACAGACCACACAACATGGGACACCAGTGAGCCACTCAGCCCTAAAGCTTGGGGCAAAAAGGCTGAGCCAGGCAGGGGTGGTGCATGCCTGTAATCCCAGCACTCTGGAAGGCTGAGTCAAGAGGGTTGCAATTTCTGGCCCAGCCTGGCTACTTAGTGACTTAGTGAGATCCTGTCTCAAAATGAAAATAAGAAATAAAAAAGGAGGTTGGGGATGTACCTCAAAAGCTCCAGATTCAATCCCCAAGTGCTACAAAAAAAAAAAAAAGAGAGAGAGACTGGACTGGGCCTGAGATATAGATAGTGAGCCAGAGCTTTGGGCCTGAGCAGAGAAGCTCTCAGGGCAGGAGAGTCTCTGCAGGACCCCCACAGAGACCTGCCAAGAAACGTGCTGGCTCCTCCCTGCTGGGCTCAGAGCCAGAACTGGGGATGGAAGCGGGAGGTGCCAACATGAATTCAGCCCATCCAGGCCTGTCACTGTCACTGGATGTGAACATGCGAGTCTAGAGGATTGCAGTGGGGAAGGGCATCGAGTTGGGTGCTGGATTTGAAGACCTTCAATATCAAGAAAGCCAAGAACATCTCTCATTCCGGGCCTCCTGGCCCAAGTGAGGCCTGGGGCCATTCAGGAGCTCATGCCCCTACCCCTCTCCCTCACCCACCCCGCCTGCCTCCTACATAGCAGTCTGTGACCCTCCAGGGACGTGCCACACGAGCGCCTGAGGACAGCCCTGTCATAGGTGTGATTTGTCCCTTGTGTCTTCATGTGTACCACACTGCAAACCTTGCTCCCATCCTGACAGCTTGTGGTGACAGGCACTGACTTGCTTCCCCTTGACGAGTGAACGTCTGGCCCATCAAGCCCAGTGGCTTATGCTTCTGAGCTGGTGTCCTAGCATGTGACACCTTCCTGCAGCCTTGCTGAGTGCCAGGCTGGAGCGGGGGTGCGGGACAAGCCACTGTTCTGCTCAGGACAGCTGTCACCCCGAGCCTTTCGTTGCTCATTTCTGATGGGAAGAGACGTGTTGACACCTGCACATGTCATAAACTATGCGTGTCACTGGGGGTGACAGCAAGATGTGCACCCTGCTCTTTTCATTCAGTGGGGGAAACATGCATGGTAGCAGATTATTATGAAGAAGAAGAAAACTCTTCAACCAGGGAGGCTTAGTGGAAGAGGCATCGTGTAAACCCAGCCTGAAATATTGTGAAGTGCAGAGGATGGGGGCATGGGCGAGAGAGTGGCCTCAGAGATGGGGGCATCCAGGCGGCAGGCAGGATCTGGTCGCCAAAGGGTAGAGAGAAAGGCAGAAATGAGGGCTGGGCCCAGGGCACGGAATGCATCCGAAGCTGGCTTCTCATCTCTCACAGGTGACTCAAGGGTATGGGAAGCAAGTCACGGGCAAAGGCACTGATGCCATGGACCCTCACAACCCCTCAGTGAGGCAGGCACTCAGAATCCCCTCGTACAGATTAGGAAACTAAGGCCAGACACCTCCTCACCCAAGACAGGAAGAGTTAGCGCTAGAAGCCAGGTTTTTTGCTTCCAGTTTCCTTCTTTCCTCTCCTAGCTTCCTTGGGGGGAAGTCCTCAGTCAAAATGAGGTCACATCTTCGCAGGAGGCCTTGGGGGGACGGGGGGGAAGCGTCCTTCTTCCTCAGTCAAAATGAGGTCACATCTTCACAGGAGGCCTTGCGGGGAAGTGTCCTTCTGCCTCCAGCCAGAGGCCAGCCCTGAGGGACCTCCTGGTGCTACCAAGGCCACATCCCAGGAGGGCAGAACCAGCAGTGAGCCCACTCTGGACTGCTCAGAGCCCAGGTCATTGTGTCTACAGGCACAGGTGACCCTCAGGTGATCTATGCCTTTAATTGCTAATTTCTGATTGTAGGAGACACTTGTTAAAAGTAATATTAAAAGAAAGAAAAACAAAGTCAGCCATGAGTCCAGAGTCCAGAGAGTACTACTGGGAATGGTTTAGTAGGTTTTCTTCCATCTTTTTGAAATGGTAGATACAAACACATGCAGACTTTTAAGGAAATGTAACTAGAATCACACCAATTATACTTTTATGCTTTCCTCTTTATCCTGAACATCCCACTGTTGCCTCTTCTACCATTAACCCCCTTGTTACAGGCAAAGATAAAGTAACCAAGGAGAGTAAAGTTGCTCAAGGCCACTCCAAATAAGTAGTGGAATCAGGATTCATACTCAGGTCTTTAGACTGCAAAGCCAGGGCTGAAATTATCATGACTGTTTTCAGATGGAGAAACTGAGGCACCAGTGGGAAGTGATGTGCCTGAGAGCACAGGACCAGTTCCTGAGCTACAGAGTCAGACCTCAGGTCTTCTGGACTCTTCTCTTTCGGATTGGTGCTGAGGAGAGGACTTGCCTCGAGGGTGCGGAGGAGTCAAGGGACCCAGAAGCTGTCAAGTGAGAGCTCCTCATGGTATGCACTTGTTCAGAGGGATAGAACAAACAGGATCCACTTCCCTCTGCTGAGCTGGGGCTTTGATTTCTCCTTCCATCATCCAGATGAAGGCCCAGGGATATAGCTCAGTGATGCAGAGTCTGCCTGGCAAGCACAAGGTCCTGAGTTCGATTCCCAGTACCCTCTGAAAAAAAAATCCAGGTGACAGTCACAGTATAATTGTGAGGATATGAGGGTCACAGCAGCCACTTGCTTCATGCACTGGGAGTCCCCATCTAATAATGATAGGATGAGAAACACCCATGAGTGTTTTTAGCTAAGTGCCAGGCACTGCCCTGAGGGCTCGCTCTGTGTCAGTCCTTACAACCTCCATCAAAATCCCACCGGAGAGGCGACACTGTTTCTGTCTCTGTTAGAGAGGTTTTCTTATCGCTGTGTTTTCAAGAGGTAAAAATCACTCATCCAAACTCACACAAAGGACAAAATCCAGGACTGGAAACCAGATCAGGCTATGCCAGGTTCAAACCTAAGTTCAGTGATTTAATCAATGGCCAGAAGCAGGCTATTGTTATGACAAAAGCACAGAAACATAGCTATCAGCTATAAGATCCAGTTTGAACTCTCTACAGATTAAAAATTAATTTTTTAAATAGCCATAACAAAATGACAATACCTATCATTTATGGGTATCATTTCTAAGAATCATTTAACATACTTGCTTTGCAGGTATCACAATAGGGCTGAGAGGAAGATATTATTTCCTCACTTGATAGATGAAGAAACAAGCTCAGAGAAGTCAGGCAGTTTTCTCAAAATCACACAGCCGATACTCATGTCTCTGCCTCCACAACGAGAAGGCTTTCCCATTGTGGTGTCATCTGCAGTGATTTAGGGGACCAGGAGGGAGTTGAATGACCTGTGTGATGTGCATTCTGGACAGGCTACTGGCCTTCTCTGGAATTCCTCCATCCAGAAGAAGGGAGGTGGCTCTGATCTAGAGTGCTTTGCTTTGGGGGTTTGCATGGGTGGGATTCACAGCAGCTGTGGGTTGGATGAAGTCAGAGAACCCACTGCTGTGCCAGTGACCCTCTACCAGGACCTGGGTTTCACGTGCCACCTTAGCATCGAAGTGGTCGTGTTTAACAAAGCACATTCATGTGGCCCAGACAGGCTGGGGACCCCTTCATGGGGAGCTGGGTATGCACTCATCTGGGCCAGTGTGTTCTTCTTTATTGGGTCCTTTCCTCAACTCCCACCTGTCTCAAAGCATTTTTCTCCATGGCTAATCAGGGGGGAGGGATACATTGCTAATGGCATCATACCTGTCACAGTTGACCATAGTAAAAGCAGGGAGGTCAAGACGTAGAAAGAATGTATTAGTCAGCTTTCCCATCACTGGAACCAAATGCTTGACACACACCATTTAAAGGATGAAATGGTTCAATTTGGCTCATGGTTTTGGGGGCTTCAGTCCATGGTTGGCTGGCTCTGAAGCAGAAGGGCACAGCAGAGCCAAGATGTTTAGATCACAGTGGCCTAGAAGCAGAGCAGGAGAACAGCAACCAAGAAGAGGAAAGGACTAAGGAATGTCAGACATAGACCCCGAGGCCACACTTCTATGACTCACCCAGACACCCAAAAGTGTGCTCCACTAATCCCTGGATGGATCCCAAGCTCAATCAAGTTGACACCCCACCCTAACCACCACAGGGAGTAAACACTGGACAAAGCCACCCAGTGGTTGATGGCTTGGCCTCTTCTCTGATGGTGAGATCAGTGAACCATCATCCTACTGAATCCTTCACCCCCACTCTCCCACTGCCCCACTGTCTAACCCCTCCTGCTCACTATACAGCTGGTACACACGGAGGCCAGGACTGCCCAGCGCAGCTTAGTGAGCACATGGGGTGGTCGACAGAAGCCCCTCAGGCTGCTTACTCTTCCACACCACAAGGAGCCCCTGCCTGGTCCCAGCCCCAGCCAAAAGCAGCCCCACAGGAGGAGCAGGACTAGGTGAGAGCCAACAATGCAGGGGGCACCTGCCAGCGGCTGCTCCCAGGGCTTGCTTCTAGAAGGGGAAAAGGGGTAAGGACCAAAAGACAGGAAAGGCTTCGAGGGCCATAGCAGTCCCCATGAGGTCCCCTAGACGTCCAGAGCACTATAGGTCAGGGAAGCAGAGGGGCAGCCAGCCCTCACCCTCGATCAGCCTCGGCCCAGAGCCAATTTGTAACACTTGTGCCCAGATGGCTTCGTGACTCTTCCACACAGCCCTCCAGCTATTCCAAGAGCCCTTCATACCTGAGAGGTCCTCTGATCTCCACACTGGCCCTGTTTGTATTTTTACAGAAGAGGAAACTGAGGCTCAGAGAGAGGACAGACAATGTGGCACAGTGGGGAACAGTGCTACACCAGGGTTCCTTTTCTGGCTCAACCAGCAGCTCACTAGGAGCTTCCAGTGAGCCTCTCCCTTAGGTCTGGGCCCTGGTTTCCCCAACTGTAAAAGGAAGCAGCCGAACTCTACAGTCTCTGGTGTCCCTCTTGGCACTCCTCCTACCTCAGGGGATCAACAACCCCTAACCTGCCAGTAGATCCCCCCTGTACAGATAAATAAGCACTTATGCAACTGGTGGCACACTGCCCCTGCAAGGCAGGCACAATCAGCCAGGGAAAGGAAGTAGCTTTGCCCACCTTCCCACAGTTAATTCACCGCTAAGCTGGGACAAGATTCTCCCTCTTTGTTCCCTGGAACTGCTCTGTCCAGGGTGGTAGTCACAGATCCACAGGGGGATTAAGCACGTGAGGTAGGCAGATGATGGCTCTCCACAGATGGCCACATCCTAACCCTAAGACATGGGAGTGTGTGACTTTACATAGCAAAGGGGACTTGGCAGACACGATCCAGCGAAACATCTTATGGTGAGTGAGTAGTGTCCTGGGTTACACAGGTGGAACCCATGTGCTCACAAGGGTCGTTATAGGGAGAGTCAGGAGGGCCCAGGGCGGTGACAACAGAGGCAGACAGAGGTGGAGACAGAGACAGAGAAGATGTGATGGTAGAAAGTTACGGTGATACACTTGGAAGATGGAGGAAGGGTTATAAGACACAGAAAGCAGGCTGGAAAGGACAAGGCCCAGATTCCCCAGCCAGACCTTCCAGAGGGAATACAGCCCTGCAGACACCTTGACTTTGTCTCCTGAGTCTCATCCAGACATCTGACCTCCAGCACTCTAAGACAATAAACTGTTGCTGTTTTGAGCTGCTGTATTTGTGGTAATGTGTTACAGCCAGCCACAGGAATCTAACACAGCACTTGAAATGTGGCCAAATTAAGATATGCTGTGAATCTGAAAAACATACCAGATTTGGAAGGTTTCATATAAAAGAGAATTTGTTTGTATTTTGATATGGGTGACATGCTAGCATGATAAAATTTTGATAAAGTACATTACTAAAATTAATTTCACTGTTTTTTTAACATGGCTCCTAGAAAATTTAGAATCACATCTGTAATTCTCATTATATTACCATTGGACAGCACTAGCCAGCTTCTTCTCTGCCTGGCCACAGGGAACAGTGGTCATAGCCAGCTCTGTTGGAGTCTGGGATGGGGGCCTTGTGCTGGGTAAAGGAGTCACCCACCCCCCTGCGCGCGCGCGCGCGCGCACACACACACACACACACACACACACACACACACACACAGCTGCAGGTAGGGAGTCCCGGTGGTGGGTGAGTGCCCCCATCCCCTCTTCCTCCTCTCCCATCTGCCTCTGGGCCTGCCTATGTCCCTGCAAGATGTGCTGGTTATTTTTAGAACTCTCCACCTCACCACAGCTGGCTCCAAAGCTTGCTGGGTGCGAGCCAACCTCGGGACAGCCATCTCCTGCCAAGTGGGGGGAGGTCTCAGGAGAACCCAGTTGTGTGGCTCTGAGGCCTTTCAGGGCCTGTGTGCAAGCTCCCAACATCCCTGGCAAGTAAAGGATCATAATCTGCTTGTTTTCTGATAGTAGAACCAAGGCAAAGAAGTCTCCACAAGCTACAAGGTGGCCCCACTGGACCCTGGAACTTGGAAGCAAGTCATCTAGCCTGGGCCTTCCTTCCTCTCAAAGGTCTGACACCTCCCAGGGCTGGTACTGTGGACCCTGCCCACTTCATTTCCAGAGCTTGCTAGGTCTTGTTCAGGCTTTCTCTGGGGGCTTTATATATGTTTGAAAGGAGGGTATTTTGTTGTTTTTGTTGTTTGTTTGTCTGTTTGGTTTTTTGTAGGGCAGGAGATAGAACCCAGTCTCACTAAGCCTGAGCTCTACCACTGATCTATATTCCCAGCCCTAGGAAAGTCTTCTAAGCAAGACAAGAGCAAACTGCAGATTTGGAGGGAGGCAGGCAAGTAGATGAAGCTTAGCTTCAGCGTATGCAACTCAGCATCTCCAAATGAAGTGGGTCAAAATAATTCAAAAGATCCATAAAAATGACATAAAAACCACAATTGCCTTGTGGTTCAAACCCCAAGCTCCAGCCTCAGGAGAACCTGGGTTCTGATCCCTGCCTCTTCTTTCAGAACTCCCTGACTTGGCCCTCTCTAAGCCTCTCTCTCCTCCACCACCCAAGTAGCTTCAGAGTGGTCAGAGGTCTAAATGAGGTCATAGACATTCTGTACATACTAGCACAGTGCCAGGTAGTGGTGATCTTTGGCAAATACTAGCTATTGTGGGCCAGGGGTGTAGCTCAGTGGTAAAGTGTTTGTCTAGCATACCAAAGGCCCTCAGTTCTATCCCCAGCACCACGAAAAAACAAACAAAAAAACCAATCTTCGTGGTAGTGCACTTGCCTCCAATGCTCAAGGCCCTGGCCCCAAACCCCAGGAACAACACAAAAAAAAAAAAAAAAAAAAAATCACAACAAACCTCACGATGTAGCTGCTCTTATTAATACCATTTCACAGATAGAGTGAAGCTGAGAGGAGTGAGGGCACTCTTCAAGGTCACATGGCTAATGACAGCAGTGTTTGGATTTGGGGGGCAACAGCTTTATTAAGATACAAACTACATACCATGCAGTTCATCCACTTAAAGTATACAATTCAGTGGCGTGAGGTATATTCAACAGTTGTTCAAACACCAGCACAATCAATAGGAGAAGCTTTTCATGACCCAAAAGAAGCCCTGTGCCCTTCCCAGAGTTCCCCACAACTTGGCCAATCCCAGGCCTGGCAGCCACCCACGTACTCTCTGCGTCTGTGGATCAGCCCATAATGAACCTTCTGTACCTCACATGTTTTCAAAGGTTCATCCATGCCATAGCTTATATTGGTACATGATACTTTTTTGTTGCTGAATAATATTCCAGTAAATGGATATACCACATTTATTTGTCTTTTCATTCATTAATTCATTATTCATTCTTGGACATCTTGGTTGTTTCCGTCTTTTGGTTGCTATGAATAAATGCCACTATGACTCAGTGTATAAGTTTTTATGCAGGCATTTGTTTTGCATTCTCTCAGGTATATTCCTAGGAATAGAACTGCTGGCCACGTGCTAACTATATTGAACCTTTTGAGGAGCTGCCAGACTGTTTTCCAAGGCAGTTGCACCATTGCCACTAGCAGCCCAGGTTAGACATTCAATGCCACCAACTAGGTTAAAGCACTCACTCTTCTTCATGAGAAGGAGTCACAAGATGGAGCACAAGGAGACACTGAAGTGAATTGTGTCCTCTGCTCCCTGACAAGGATATCTTTTAAGGACCAAACTATTTCATTTCCTTATCTGTAACATCGTGTGATGGTTCACCTTGGTTGCCAATTTGATCAGCTTGAGCAATGCCTAGGAGATTAGTAAAGCACACCATGGGTATGTGTAGGTGAGTGGATCGTGAAGGCAGGACCTTGAGGACGATGTCTGGTCCCTGGTCCATTTCCTCTCTGGTCCTTCTCCAGCTCTTTGCTTCCCAGATGCCATGAGGTGAGCAGCTTTTCTCCTCCAGGCCCTTCCACCATGACGTTTCTGCCTTGGAGCCATCAGACCATGGACTGAATCCTCTGAAATAGTTGCATTATATGGAACTGTACTTCAACAAAACTATTCAAATAATTACATCATTTGTGCCGTGGTAGTTATCCCATAAGCACCAGGTGCAAGTCATGGACTCCTCTTTGTGGTGGTCATGTGCCCTTCAACTTGAAAGCTTCAAACCCTCTCAGAGAAGAGTAAGTGAAGTTTGCTGGAGGTTTCTACACTTCGTTTCCTCCAGGGAATAGTCCCTTACTTTGTGAGTCTTAGTGACTCTGGGGTTCCAGGGAGATAAACTGCTCAGGAAGCCAAGGTAGACTTTGCTTGGGGGAGGGCGGGTACCTCTCTCTGGAGATTGCATAAAAAGAGCACTGGACTCTTTTGCTAGAGATTAAGATCCTGACCTGCTCCTTCCTATCTGCATGACCTCAGGCAAGTCCCATTGCCAGCTCTGAGCCCCACTGTTGGACACAGTTGTAGAACAAAGTCCCTGACCTGGGCTACAAGGGTGGGCTGGGCTTACACATAGAAAGGAAGGGTCCCTCACCCACCAACGGCTCCCAGGAGAATTCACAGAAGCTGAGGCTCTGAGTCATGTGTTGAGGGAGAATCTTGGAGCTAGGGATAGAGCTTGGTGGTAGAGATAGAGCACTTGCCTAGCACGCCAAAGCCCCTGGACTTGATCCCAAATACTGCAAAGGGAAAAAAAAAGAGATTCTCTAAAGTCCTCCAACATTTAGTGTTCATCCATCACATATTTTTGATGTGGCCTGTATGTCCCACACTGGGCTAGTCCGGGTAACAGGTGTAAATACCCCAGTGCACAGGCTGCTGAGGGACAGGGACAGTACCTGAATGCAAATCAATGCTCCTTTCTACAGCCAGAGGCAAGTCAGGGGCTCAGGGAGAGGGCTGATTGCCAGAGTCCTCCCTCCCATTGGTCCCCTTAGGTTGGCCATCCCAGGCCTTCTGCATCCGCAGCCATATGGAAAGCATTGAGCTGCGCTCTCGTCTCCGGTCTCCGCTCCCAGGTGCCTGTTCCTCGAACACGCCTGCAGCTGCAGGCAGCCAGGGCCTCCCGAGATAAGGGGACTTCCGCCTGCTCCTTCACCCAGCAGCCATCGCCAGAGATGCGAGGGTATCGCGTTAATCCTATCCCCTAGTTATTGCAAACTTATCAGGCCTGCAATCTCCCAAATGAGTGGATGACGAAAGCTTAAATAAATGAGACAAATGAAACGATTTCAGGGCTCCAGGAGGATCAAAAACCCTCTCACAGAACTCGAGATTTTCTGGGGCTTAAGCCAAAACTTTTCTAGTGAGCCCATATTTATTATGTTTTCAAACAAAAGAGGAGAGTACTTGAAGAAAATGCAGGAATGTGGGCAGGACTTGGGAATCCCTTTAAGGACTTCTCCAAGTAATACCTTATGTTAATTTAGGAGAACTATGTTATCTCCAGGAAGGCCTTCACCCAGGAGTGCGATGCCTGCAGCTACAGTCTTTATCTAGTTAATAGAGGTTGGAGTCAGGTGTCCTTAGCCCTGGCTCTGCCTTGTCCTTTGAGGCACCAGGACTTCACCCACCATTACAGGCCGCCATCTCCAGTCAAGGGGCCGACGTCTTGCGCAGACTTACAAGTAAACCCAAAAAGCCAATTGGTTAATTTGAGCTTGCTCAGAGCTGCTTCGTAGTGGTCTCCATCACAAGGGCATCGCTTACCCTGCATGGGTGCCAGCATAGCCCCCAGCAGCTGCTCCATCTGCCCTCTAGGGACTGGGAGGTAGCTTAGACACAGCAGAATCCCAAGAAGCCGTTGCTTTGTTGAAAAAAAGTAAGGGAATCGTGTAGGCCCTCATCGCAGGCAGAATAAAACTCCTAAGGTTGACATTCAAGGCTCCGACTTTCCAAATCAGGTTTCCCTTACCTTTGTCCTGTTTCTCCTCCCTGCTGAGGCCCTATCTTGGGGTCTGACTGTCACAGCACAGCACTGGGTGGTAGCTGACCTTCTACAGTCCGTTTGAGGAAGCAGTTGCACAGCACCAACTAACTGCCAGGCAGGGACCCCACTTTGTCCGCATCCCCCTTACAGGGGCCCCCTTTATGATGTAGTCCCTGTTCTCAGGTGAGGTGACAGAGGCTCAGACTGAAATCCACTGAGGTGTCCAGACCTGTCAAAACTGGCCCTGTGTCTGATCACCCTGTGGGGCTTTTCCATGAACGAAGGGTGGGGGGTGGGGCCCTCGCCTAGATGATTTGATTGGTAACCTGGGGTGGGAATGGAGAATTTGCATGTATAATAAGCTCCCAGTCGACAGCATGCTCTTGGTCTGGGCCCATCCTTTGAGAATCTCTACCTTGCACAATAGGCCCTCTTTTGAGTACTGCACATTAGGGGCACTTAGTCAGACTCTAAATTCACCGCAAATAGACTGAATTCACCCTGGACTACCTTCCATCACATGGATCTCTGGTGAATTTCCTTTCTACTCAGCAACATTAGAGGTTTACTTTCCTGACTGTCCACCTGGTGTCCCATGCCTCAGAGGGAAACCCTCAGACGTCACTGAAGGCACCTCCTATACACCAGGTGACCCACACTTCCACAAGTGTGTGCCCATCGGAGATGCTGGCAGAAACCTGGCAGTGGCTTCTGGAGAAGGGAGGGGAGGGCAACTGCCAGAGAGCTGAGTGAGTCTTCAGCACCTGAGCTATGGGAGGAGAGGGATGGGGCAGCCACACTCTCTTCGAGTCACCTGCCATCACTGCTGTACCCAGGGGAGCCCTGGGCACAGCAAGCAGTGACCCGGGACAGTGAGCTGAGAGAGCCGAGGGTCTGTGCCTTTCTTGTTACCCTCGAGCCAGCTGAGCACAGGCAGGGTATCCTCATGCAGAGCACACATGTCATTTATTTGGAGCTTCATTAATTACATTCATACACCAGGGTGTACTTACTATTAAAATAATCACAGTTGTCATTTATTGCCTATTGTGTACCAAGCAGTTTGCATACACAGACTCACCCAGTCCTCCCAGCAGCTCCCATAAGGTGGTTGCTGAGACTCCCCATTGCACAGATGTGGAAACTGAGGCTAAAGGAGATTAAACAACGTGCCTGAGGTCCTAGTCACGAGAAATGACAGAGCTATTATCTCCTCGTCTCTAAACCGCCACTTTCCTCTCTGTCATCCTGCCCCCCATTTCCTGGACACCTGCTCTGTGCAAAGTCCGGGTTTGGAACCACAAAACGAATCATTCAAGTAGTCATCTATGCAATCACCCCCCCTTTTTAACACTTACTATTTTTACAGGCTTGTGTATTTATAACGTGTCTTATTTCAGAAAGCACTGAACCTCTTTAGCTGATGTGTGAGAGAATAGAATTTTCCAGGAGTGGCCACATGACAAGAGACAAGTGGAAAACAGAAGTTGGAAAGATCAGAAGAACTCAGGAATGAGACAGGTGTGTAAAGTGCAGAACTTGAGGTCCCTCAGGACAAGTCACAAATGGCTGTTGGAGCTTTTGAGACCCCACGTAGCTCATAGTGTCGGCAAGACACTGACACAGCCGTTGCTGAAACAAAATAAAACTCTCGGAGGCCCCGAGACCAGAGAGGGTTTTGCCTAGTGAGCTGGCATGAAGTGAACACTGTGAAACGTAAGGAGCGATGTCCCCACACAGCCTCCTAATTGCACGTACAGCACAAGTCTCAGGGACTGTTTTCTAAACCCCCTCTGCGCTGGCCCATGTCCCAGGAGGAAAGGCTGCCCAGAGCATCAGGAGGCTACACATCAATGTAAGGCAGGCAGGGCCGCCCCTGTAGCCTAATCTGCAGGCCTGCTTATAGTAAATATTTGTAGGCAAATGTGAGTGCTAAATTGGTTCTGCAGGTGAGCTTTATTTGGCCTGAGTTTTGTACTTAAATTGTTTAAATTAGCCGTCAACTTTTAGCAGTTAGATTTCACTGGGGGGAACATATCCAGATTTTGTTGGTCTCTATTAAAAAAAACTTTTCTTTAAAGGATGTGACAAGGGACCCATGGACAAGACTGAGCTAAAGCTGGTCACTTTCCATTCCTCCATGACTCCTTGGAGGCCCTTCTTTGCCTTTGGTGTCCCTACCTGGCTCCGGGTTAGGATGTTTTGATCTGTGGCACGTTTAGTAGCATCACAATCACCTGGTAATTGCAGGGTCCCAGGTCAGGGTCCTTGGACTGATGGGTCTGGGGGCAGCATCTTTGGTGACTGTAATACCAGTGATCTCTCCTCACAGCACAAAGGACTGAGTGGGGCCTGCAGATGGGGAACAAATAATTCTCTTGCAACCCAAGTCTTGGCCCACGTGGTGGGGATGCAAGTTCAAGCTCATACTCCCTGACAGGGGTGGCCAAGAGCAGCTCTGGTGAGTGGATGTGTCAGCCCTGAGTCGCATGCTGTGCATGAGTGTCCTCTACCTTGGCTGCACATGAAAACCACCTGGAAGCCTTTCAAGCCCCACTTTCCAACCTCATGCCCAACCCACAGCCCAGACTAAACAGAACCGAAAAGGAAGACTTTACCATGTGCATGTGCATGATACCGGGGGATCCCCATGTAACAGTCTGTGTGAGGAGCTGGGCTTAGAAATGAGCGTCCTTCTCACGGCCGGGTCAGGTATTGACTGTGAATAAGCAAGAGATGAGCAGAGCTCCCAGAGGACAGGAGAAGCTAGGACAGGTGAGCAAAGGGACTGTTAGAATGTGATGAGTGGGAATGAAGGGCACTATGAGGACCCCAAACAGGGGCACCTAACCCAGCCTGGGGGGCCCTAAACTCCCCCAAGAGAGTCTTCAGCTGTACTTGGGGGAAAAAAAATGCCGTCCAGCTACATAAAAAAGGGGAGGCAAATCCCAGCCAAGGCGTGATCTAGTCCAGGGCTCTGAGGCCCAAATAGGAGGCTGGGGGAGCTGGAGGTTGTCAGGCACATCTGGGGCAAAGGGTGGAGGTGGGGAGTATGAGAAGAGGCCAAGGACACAGAAAGGGGCCTGCGTGCCAAGCTATAGAGACTGAACTTGACCTTAGCTAGGAGGACCCTCTGCAGGGCTTTAAGCCAAGGAGTAGATGGATGAGCCAATGCATGATGGGTTGAGGTTACCAAGGAGGGCCTCCTGAAGGGGGTCAGGCTTGAGGCCAGGGAGGGACAGGACTGGGAAAACTGGGGCTCTGATCAGCCGCTTCAGTTAGAGCTGCGGAAACCCTTCCCTTCCCCACGCCCTTTGAAACAGTTTGAATCACAGACTCCCTGTGTTAAAGATGTTTGTCTGTTATTTGAAAGCTGTGGTTTCTCTTTAACAGATTCTGGGCCCCATCCTTTGACTAGGAACCAGGAAGGAATGAAGGACACATTCTCTTGCACAGAGAGCTAATTACTGAAATACAGTGGGCCTCACCAGGGTCGATGGCGTCACTGTCTCTTCCTCCAACAGTTCTTAAATTCTAACTGGTCAGAGTTTTTCAGTACATTTTTATGGGCTGCCCCAAAGCCAGCTGGAATCTCTTTTTCCATAAACTCTCCCTGAGACAAGTAGCTGCATTTCACATATTAAAAATGAAAATGTCAAAAGGGTTGCTTAAAAGAAAAAAAAAACAAAAAAGCAACAGGCTCCTTTGGGAGGGCTCAGCTCAGGAGGGCTGGGTCAGACTCCAAAGGCATCTGCCCGTTTTGTTGGGTGGTTTTTGGTTTGTTTTCGCAAAGTTGATGGTCAGGTTAGAATGATGATCATAATAACTTGTTTATCGAGTCACTCAACAAATACTTACTGGGCATTTCTGAGTGCCAGGCCCTAGCTGGGCATCAAGATGAGAAGCTGCCTCAGGCCTGGTTGCCCCCTCCCCGCTGCCCTTCAGTGTCCAAATACTTCATCATTGATAGCATTTTCACAGGCAATTTTGTGAGCTATATGTGGTGTTAGTACCTGACTTTGCAGAGGAGGAAACTGAAACACTTAGAAATTACATATGTTGCCCACAGTGGCAATGCCACTAAGGAGAAGAACTTGATGTTGGGTCATCCAAGTCCAGATGCCAAATTCTGTGCAAGCTCTCTTGCACCTTTTAGCAACACCAGCTGTTACTGGCTTAAGGTGGGCCACAATTCCAAGAGCTCACTGTCATCTATAATCTGCCTAACATCTAGCTTTGCCTTAAAACTCATTTCCCTTTTGAGAGAATTTCCCACTTTGCAGAACAAAGATCTAGCTCCCATATTCCCCAGCCATCGTGACTACAAAAGCCTATTGGAGCCAAACCATTCCCAGCATGTCTTCCTGCTTTGGTGGTAAACAGGCATATGGGAAATACCCCCTCAGCTAATCAGATACCTATTTTAGGGGCTCTTGAGTGGTGAGGGGACCCTTGAGTTGGCCCCTGAATCAGACTGTGCCTGCAATCTTCTCTTGGCTAGAGCTCCTGCTGGGCTCCTCCCTTTGTCCAAGACTTTCCTGCAGCCTCTGTCTCATTCTGTAGGGCCTCGTGATCCTCCAGCAAGTTCTCCCTCTTTTAAGGTGAACTGAATTGGTCCTGGTCACTTATAACCAGAAATCCTAGTGGACAGAGGTCACAGCACTGTATCCTGTTTGCAGAGCAGGTAGAAAACAGCCACGTCCACTGTGCTGTGGCACTTTTGGATGTTATGAAAATGTTAGTACAGTCGTCGCTTGTCCCAAGGTCCGAGGAACATCAGAGCAGAGAGGCCCAGTTGCCCAGGTGTCTGCCTGCACCCTGTGCCATCTCCTGTTCCTGAGTTCCTACTGGGCTCCAGACCTCTTAGCTGCCACCAAGCTTGTTCTCCTTGTGATTCAACTTCCACCTGGGCCCTGCTCACCCTTTAAGGCTGGTGGATGTGGAGAAGGAGGCTGGGTAAAGGCCATGGGTATGGTCTGCAGAAGGAGGATCTGTGGGGGCTGCCGCAGAGGGCCTGGCGGCTCAAGAAGTGCTCAGGCATGAGCTTTAAGGAGCTTCACCTACCCTCTGCTCTCAAGGATTGTGAAAGGGGTTGTTCCAACCAGTTGCTGGAGAAATAGAACCAACAGGAAATAGAGACATGTATGTTATTTATCTGAGCTGTATTTATTTTAAAGAACAAGCTCACAGGATTTGGGGCTGACAAGGCTGGGGTCTGCAGAGTGGCCAACAGACTGGAAACTCAGGTAAGAATGAATGCTCCAGTCTCGAGGCAGAGTTTTCTCTGCAAAGTCTCTGTGTTTACTCCGAAGGCCTTCACCTGATTGGCTGTGGCCCACCCGCACAGTATGGAAGGCAATTTTCTTAATGTCAGCTGGTGGTAGAAGTGAACCACATTGTAAGAGACAGTCCCAGCTCCACACGGATTGGTGTTTCATTACACAACAGAGTCCTATAGGCCAGGCAAACTGACACAAAAAATTAAGTAGCGCAGAGCAGTTGGCTCCATGATGCCTCCTGTGATGGTCAGGAAGACCACTGAGAATAGTCAAGCTGATGCTGAGTCATGAAGAGGACACGACCCACCAACAGTGGGACTGGCCACAAAGGGTGGGTGTGTACATTTCTCACAGTTCCAGTCTGAGCTCCTCTTTGCTTTTCCTGTGACCTGCACACACTAAGCCCCTTGTAGTCACACCCTCTATTTTTTTCCACCCTATCTTCTTGACATCCCTGTTTTGGTTTGATGTTCAGTGAAACCCTGTCCCCTGTGCGCACCTATGTAACTCCCCAGCCACCCTGCTGCATGCTGGCTGCTCCAGATTTCCTGTCTTTTTATCTTCTAACCACCGCTACTCCAGCCACCTGGAACAACGGAAGCCTCACAGGTGGGATCCAGACCTTAGTGGTCTGAATAACATGTAGAATGAAGCACTGTTAGCCCTGGCTCCTACCCTCAGATTCCTCCTACCCGGCTCCCTCCACCCAGCTTCTCCCCAGATGTTTCTCCTCTTTCATGAGAGAAAGACGGGATTTGCATTGTGATCTGGGGAAAAGCAACTCTAAGACATGGACCTAAAGGTCCCAGCTGACCCTCTTCGAGCTATGGCCCTGCTCAGGCCCAAAGACTGAGAGCAGAACAGGCAAGAGATAGCGGTAAGAACGAAGGTTCTCTTTAAAAACCCACAAGAGTCTGAGGACAGCATCAAAACCTCTCCAAGCAGAAAGAGGTCCTGAAGATCACAGAGAAGTTCCCTCACCCAGGCAGGGTCTCCCTCTGAAATTCATGAAAATGTCACAGAACACTCAACCAGAAATGTTTTTAACCAAATGTGGACAATAGAAAACTCAGGAGCACTGCTGGAGACCTGGCAAATCAAAATGACATGTATCTCTGGATAGAGGGAGAGACCCTGATCAAATTATGGCTTGTCTGTTGACTTCCCATTTGACCTTGAACAAGCCTTTCCTGCTTTCTAGTTTTTAGTTTCCCATCTGAAAAGGAGAAGAGTGACTGCTTGGAAGGTGCTATCAGGTGACTACCTAACCCTGACCCTGAGTCATGGGTCTAACGCTTCCTAGCTGCATGACCTTGGGCACATCCCTGAATCTCCTTAAACCTCACTTTCATCATCTACGAAGTGAGAGGGTCATGGCCCTTGTCTTGCTCACCTTGCAGAACTGCTGTGGGGAGGAGATAAGAAAAGGAAAATGCCTTGTATGAGCGCCAAAGAGCTGTTCCTAACAGAGGTATTATGGTAAGATGAATATCATTGTATATTATTGAGGTGTCTTAAGCTGCGTAACACTTATGAGAACAAGTAGTCCCCACAGGGGCGGAAGAGTGTGGTGGCAAAGGCTGGGAAGCCAGACTACAGGGCTTGTGGCTTAGCTCTGCCCCACATGAACCCATCCCCTCATGCAAATAAAATTGGATATTGAGAGCACACATGGGACCCAAGATGGTTCCCATGTTATGTAGTATGCTCTATGTCCATGCTAAGGATCACCACAATTGTCCTCCAATCATGATAGAAGGGAGGCAGAGTGGAGAAGTGCGGTGTGCATTGGCTTTTAGACACACCAGACCTGGGTTCAAATCTCAGTTCCACCAGTAGTACGTTGGAATCCTATGAATGACCATGTTACATCTGCTACCTTTTTGTTTGCTGTCCTCTGATTATTTTTTGAGCAATGAATGTAGATCTTGTCTCCTTTATGGAATGCCCAGCCAGGGGGATGGCTCCTGGGGAATATAAAGAAGCACGGATGAAGAGACTAAAAGAAGGGATGCACCTGGTCCCATATCAGGACAGTGTGGGGGTCACTAGGGTGTCCTGCCGTCTGTCTCGCTTTTCCGTACCTCCTGGCTCACAGACAGGGCAGACACTTGACATCTCTCATTTTTCTACAAAGCCACAGGTAAAGGTGTTTATGGTTTGGCGGCTAACCGAGGCCATAGACACTTCAATAGGTCACAGGCTGACCCTGTCAACCCACTTTTTTTTAAACTGTGTTAATGACTATGCTTTCTACTATGATTTTAAAACTCTCAGCACTTCCATGCTGAGGACATTTTAAACTCACCCCCAAATTCAGGCAATAAAATACAGACTCATCTAACTGTTCACCTGCATAACTATTTGCAAAGCCTGGATTACAATGATGATTATTCATAGTTGTGAAAAGTAAACTTTGCTTTACAGAGAGTTTTCATAGATGTGAAGTTGCTTAGTAGTTGAACAAATATTTCCAAAATAAAATTTTGCTCTCAAAATAAGTTAGTGACTGTACAGCTCAAATGAATTTATTGTATGTGAATTATACTTCAGTGAAGCAAACATCACAAGTGCCTTTTATTGTCTCCCTTGGAGAATTCTGTTTTCCGTAATGGAAGACAAAATAGAACAACACAGAAACGGAGGAAGACAGGTTGCTGAAAGACAGAAGACCCACATTCAAAGTGCTTTGACCTTCACTTCATCTCCCCTGACAGCCAGGTGTTGAGACACAGCTGAAGGTAAGGGACATGTGTAACAGTGGGGAAATAAATAAGGCGTCCATTCTAACCTCCATTTTCTCCCTGATGACTGCCGAGCCTGACTCTTCAAGCTGTGACAAGTCTTTAATGGGGAGGGTGACCAGTGCCAGATATGAGAGGTCACCATGAGCTATACCCACCCTGCACCCCTAACCCTAGCAAGTATTGCTGTACTCAAAAACCTCCTCTGGGGCAGTCTTGTTGTAGTCTCCTTGACCCTCCCACCTTTACAATGACCAGAGAGTTCAAAGGCAAAGCAGACAGATGGAAGTTGGAGAGTGGGGAAGGAGAAGGACCGGAGAGAACAACAACGGACCAGTCACCCAGCTTTGTCAGAGCCCGACATTCTGCCAAGTTTGCCTCAGATCTTTTCACTTTTTCTAAAAAATAAAACAGCATAGATATAATTAAATTCCCTGTATTCTTCTCTCTTTCAGTTTTATTTTTCCCTCCTAAATTTGGAATCTTTCATTTCCCATGCACAATTTTAATATTTCGACATACTACCTCATATTAGAACTAAAGATATAAGGAAGGGAAAATATATACATATATCTACGCAGCTAAGATAATTGTACCATTAATTTCTATTGGTTTATTGAAAGGAACAGTTAATGCCTAATTTTTTGATCAGTTTTGCATGTCTATATCTGATAATCTGAACTACTTTGAAGATAACAATATGCAATATAACAACCATTGTTAACTTCCTATCATCTTGTTTTGAAACTCTATTGTTTTTATTGTTATTCTGTTTAAAATAAAAAATATATATACATAGCATACTTTTGAATGTTTTCAAGAAAACTGTGTGTGTGTGTGTGTGTGTGTGATACTGGGGATTGAACTCAGAGCCTTTGTACTAAGTTACATTCTCAGCCCTTTTTTATTTTTTGTTTCTGAGACATGATCTAACTAAGTAGCTAAGTGGTCCAGGCTGGGGTTGAATTCTTAATCCTCCCATTTCAGTCTCTTGGTGCTGACATGGGTGTACCACCATGCCCAGCTTTAAAAACTTTTTTGTATCACTCTGTACCTATGCTACAAATTGATGTTTGTTTTTCACTAAAGTGTATATATGTTGAGACTTAGAGCCTTAGTTTTACTCAGTATATTATTGCAGGAATAGGTCATAACTTATCTAGACTGCTGTGTAAATGTTTAATTTTTACAATTAGATGTTGAATGAGGAGTAGTCCTTACATTGTTGGTATGAGTGCCTTCAACTTTATGAGATGTTGCCAAACTGCTACCCAAATTGTACCAATTTACATCTCCATCTCCATCAGTGGAGCATAAGGGTGTAGCAGTGCTACGTCCTCATGACCTCTAGTGCCCCAAATCGACAGACTTCCTACACTTTGCCAGTATGTGGCTGTGAAATGGGGTAACGTGGTTCTTTTCATTTGCATCTCCCACATAACCAGTGAAGTTGAACATTTTTTTTTCATATTTTTGGCCATTTGGGCCATTTAGGTTTCTCTTTTGTGAATTACCTGTTGATATCTTTATCCATTTTTTAAAAAACCAATAACTTGGATTTTTGGGGTCAGCCCATTAAACCCCAACCTGCCATTTCTGCATTCGATCTAAATGCTACCTTTCCCACAAAACTTAGCTTCTAATCAACCACAAGTGTCACCCCCACCTTTCTTGTGGCATTATAAATTCCTGTCTTATGGTGTTGTAACAACGCATTTTGCATACTGCTTTGTAGTTTATCAAACCACCTGCTCCTTCATCATTTTACATCTAGACAATAGCCTTTGTCCGACCTTTACCTAGACAAAGATAGTGCCATTACTTCCTTTGAACATGTTGAATTGGGACTTGCCCACCTAAGATCCCACAGTGGTTCAGAGACAGAGTTGGTCTCAGGGTTAGGACTTCCCAGTTCCATGTCCAGGTCACCACACAAGTCCCCCTTATTGGTACTGCCCTTGTTACATGCTCCCACAGTGACTCCCCCACAAGATCGTGGGTCTCCTGCTCACCTGTATGCCTGAAGCTCCCAGCTCTAGCCCCATCCAAGGGAGCACTCAGTGAGTTAGGAATTCTTTTTTTTTTTCTTCTGGTACCAGGAATTGAACTCACGACGTTGCGCTTGCCAGGCAGGTGCTTTGCCACTGAGTTAAATCCCAGCCCCAAGTTAGGAATTCTTGACAATCACCTTCTCCATCCACTGGGCACCAAGGGCTCTACAAACATTACCTCCAACCTTCTCAACAGTCTGTTTGGATGGGGAAACTGAGGGTTAACACTCTGAGTCCCCCAGCCAGTAACAGGTGGAGCTGGCCTGTGAGCCACAGGAGGGTGCCTTCCCCTACAATCTCTGCCTCCACATCTTGGACTAAGGTGCACCAGACCAGCTCAGAAGCTGATGTAACTGTCCTACTCACATCTCCAGTCCTGTCTGCAGTGCACACATGCTCTTGCTGCACAGTGAGGGTAAGTGGCATAGTCTTGCAGGTCTCCTGGGGACTCAAGGATTTGCTAGGGGGCTGGAGGGGGGTGCACTGGGAGGCCCTGTCTGATAGGGCTGCTGCCACCTTTCTTTCCAGGCTTGGGTAGAGGAGAGGCAGGTGTTCAAATCTACTGGGGTTCTGCTTTGGATCACAGAGCCAGACTGGGATAGTAAATCAGGAGGGGCAACAAGGGGGAGAGAGAGGTGGAAGGAAGTGGGGAAGGGCTGAGAGCACCTCCATCTCAGGCAGGCGGACTGAGACAGAGGGTGCAGGGTGGGTCACCTGCCAGTGAGCAGGCTCTGGGGGAAGGTGTCTGCTGGACACACCCATGACTACAACCTCCTGATGCTGTCTGCTGAAGGTAATGGTGGCAGGTAAGGGGGCACTGGGGACTGAAGGCAGGGATGGTGATGAGGGTTTGTTGGCCAAAATTCTCTCCCTGCCCTGCGCCTAAAGGGTGACTCTGGGTGGGGACAAGCTGCCTTTTCTCCAGACGGCAGGGACTTTATCTGATTGGGGCCATGCCCACAGCCTCAATCTGTTATCCTCTGACTGTGTCTTTCATTGCGTGCCACTTACATGTGTTTGTGTATAGGGTGTGCGCAGTCGACCTTGTTGTATTTCTGTGCACCGTGTGTGTGCATTTTACAGTTGTATTCTCATGTATCTGTGTTGTTACATATTGCAGCCCTAAGCGTGCTACGCTTGTCACCTTGGGTCTAAGTCCCGCTGGGTCTGTGCTGGGGGCGCTGTAGCTCTCCCTGTGTGTATCTATGTCCAAGCACTGAGGGGACCGTAATTCATGGTGTCGTGTTTGTGTCGGGTGTGAGGTGTGTGGTGACTTGTGTCTGGTCTATGCGGTGCAGCTGCTCCCTCTCCGGGTGGAAGGTCCATGTTGTAACGCAGGTGCTGGGCGACCCGTCCGGGTTGTCCTGGGTCTGTGGCTATGCTATGCCCCGCACCCGCTCCCGCTCCGCCCCGAGCGCGTCTGTGCAGCTGCCACCGGTGCCGGCGGCGAGGGGCTAAGCTTCCTCCGCCCGTGGCCCGCGGGCTGCGCCCTGGGCGCGGGGCGGCGTTTCCGCGTGGGACGAGCGGGCC